ATATATATATATATATACATCGGAATGTTAAAGCTTAACGTGCTATAAAATATTTATGTCGTCGTTAATTGGGCGCCAGACACTGTTTCATGAATAGAAATTAGACTATAAATACAGATTAACTCTGTAGTCTCCAAGCAGTTGTAATACTTTAGTGAGCGTCATAATTATGATTAAGTGTCGCGAGGGTAAAGGATAACTGAAACTATAAAATAATTTAATGATTTTCGTTTAAAAGAAAAAACTATTTTTCTATTTACAAGTATGAAAGGGGTATATTTTATATAAACATTTAGTTAAATATTATCAATCTTATTGATTTAATAAATTTGCAAGCATGATTTAAATATTGCAAAGTTTCAATTTTGACGAGTCTGATGATCAGGAAAATTAAAACATATCAAATAATTAACATTAACGAAAGTGTCATTCACTACACTAATAGATATCTTCATTTTTATCTCCGAAAATTTTTATTTCCTTTCTATCCGTGAAAATAAAATTCCTTAATCGTTAACCCGTTACCTGTCGTCGTCGCTCCAAATCTCGCCAGAGCTTGACCCTCCCTACACCAAACTCTGAGCATGCACTTAAGCAGCTCCTCCAGAGCTTGCTTCAATGTCACGTCCTTGTCCACTTCCGTCGTGCACTCGGAACCCGCGCAGTTGCACACCATTGTCGTTTGTCAATGGGAACAAACTCGAGGGAGATTTATTGCCCGGGAGCAATGTCTCCTCTTTCTCCGCGTTATCGAGGGGAAAGCCCCTTTTTTCACCGCCCTTCGTTTCACCAGCAACTTCCGTTTAGAAGACGGGAGCGTTCGCGTTCGATGAGCTCGCGCGTGTACACTCGCGAAAATCGCGGTGGATTCGCGAAGACGATGCTTCGAACCAGCGGCCTCGTGGAATGCGACTCGGCGCCCTGACCCACTGACTGCCAGCCAAAAACTCCTTCTTCGAGTCACCGCCCCGCCGATCCCCCCCTCAACCCCGTACAGCCCAGCCGTATACTCGCGAGCGCCGCTGCACTTCTCCGTCGTCTTCGCGCGGGCACAAATCACTTCTCCCCTAACTTCGTCTTCCTTCTCCGCCACGAACGAGCCGGACCTAACGTCTCGCTCGACGGCTGCTCGTCGGGTGGATTATATTTAGACAGCGGAGTATTACGCGGCGCTTATATTTAAAGAATCGGGAAGAACGCCTCTCTCCCTCCGCACCCACCTTTCTCTCTTTACCCGTATCTTTTTCTATTTGTTGACATGACCTAATTCTTTTCTCTTTTTCTCTTGTCCTCTTAATCTCACTTTCCGTTCCTACCTCCTCGCTCTCTCTCTCTCTCTCTCTCTCTCTCTCTCTCTCTCTCTCTCTCTCTCTCTCTCTTCTCTTTGAAATTTAAATATTCGTAAGAGCATTCATTTTACACACACATTTTATGCGTGTCATTGTTGTAATACTTTACTGTATTATTTCTCATTTTTATAAATTTTTTATTTCTCATTTTTATATATTCTTTAAGCTTCATTATTTTGTATAAATCTCTAATCTCTATCTTTAGAGAAACTATGTAGATAAATTTTATTTCCTCAACATTCTGACAGTATAATTTATTTGTTTATCTCCCTTGTCTCGTGCCATTTCTGTCACCCTCTTTTTCTTCTTTCTCCTCCTTCCTTCTTTCTCTGCATCTTCTTCTCGCTTCATCTCGCCCTCGTTTTAACTCGCTATCTAAACTCTCCGTCTCGTCGGCAGATCTATCGCAGAACGCTTTCGCGAGACGATTTAAGAACATTCTTCAGCGATGCGTGAATCGGCGTTGAAGCGGCTCGTTTGTGCCGTGTCGGACGTCATCCGTCGAATGATCTCACAACGTAGAGATTTTGGAATGCGGCTTAAAAACTTCTAACATAGACACGAACGATTATAGAACAGTTGCACCGATGAAATCGTGATTAACGATTGAGCTAATTAATTTGCACTTAAATGATCAACATCTAAAAGTTTACAAGGATTTATGCAGTTCTAAATTATAATCATTGAGATAGAAAACCGTTTTATCTTCTGTCATTTCTCTCAACAGATTTCGCAAGATTTTTTTTTTTTTCTATATTTCATCATATCATTCCTTATAATATTTCTTCTCAGTTTTGTAAGATTTTATATTTTTGTATATATGTGTTATTAATGATCATGAAATTAAAATAATATACAAGAGGAGAGAGGGAGGGAGAATATAAGAAAAATTGAAGCTACTTCGAAATACCAAAAAAAATTTTTTTTTTATATTTGACTTACCAAAACATTTTGTTTGTATCCTCTTGTACATCTCACCGCTGCTTTTTCGATGTACCATCCTATGCGTGGCCACCTCATATCTCTTCGTGAATTTCTTCTCGCTCTCCGTGGATTCTTGAGAGTCTCGTCGCTTCTTATGGACGCACTCGTCGTCGTCACCATCTCTGCTGTCAGGCCTTCTCCATACGTGACTCTCTTCGAGATCCCCGATATAAATCCATTCACTGCTTAAGTACGGTTCCACGTAAGTATCCTCATCTTCTCTTCCTATCATTAAGAAAAATGACAAATATATTATTCGCACTAAATGTTTAATACGTCTTTATTTTCTTATCTTAATTTACAGTTTTATAAAGACAAAGAATCTGGAATTTAATATTATTTAAAAAAAATAAAAATAAAAAAATATTTGAATAAAGTATAATTTAGTCTCAAGAGTGATATATAAATATTTAATTTTTTTATCTTTGTGTTTTTAACAAACTGACTGTAACGAGTCTATTAAGTCGACCGTGGCATATTCAGCAGCCGCTTAACAGATCTTTCTAGTTCATGGCGACTGGAAGGGGCTGACTATCTCGTTATTAATTCAGTTTTCTCTGGGACGTACCCTTTGCCGTAATAAGCTTATCATGCTTTTGATTTCAGTAAAATAATCCTCGAATAATGCTTGTTTAAAATATGTCTTAAATCGCTTTTAAGACATTTTAAGATATTACGTTGTCTTTAAGACTTCTTAGAATATTTTTAATAATGTTATGATATGCTTTATATCCTTTTTCAAGTTTTTAAGCATTAATTTTTTTATGCAAATATGACATTTTGAATTTAAATTTTAATTCACATTTAAATCCGTATTAATTAAAATAGTCATTATTTCTTATATTGTCTTTTTCCCACAGATTATGAAATCTAGAAGGATAATTTCAAAAAAATGAGAAAAAAACTTTAATTTTAGGAAGTTTTATCTCGCAAGGCAGTGACAAAAAATAATATAGCATTCATACTCCGCCTCGTTTGAACAATTTTTTGCTATCTTTTCATAAAATATGCTCATTTAAAAAATTTAAAAAAAAAAAAAAGATAAGAGGCATTTTAAGAAAATATTGTAATTTTTGAGAGCAGGTAAAGTGTTAACGTACCTGTAAGAATTTCCATGCTGGCATCAGTACTTCGAGCTTGCAGCCTTCTTCGATCTGTGTCATCGATTGAACCTCTGCTTCCTGGTCGTGGGGTGGCTCTCTCCTCCGATTTGGCTCGAATATCCGATCTACCGGCAGCACTGCTACGACGATGTCTACGATCCCCTCGATCTTCAGATCTGTACCTCTTGTCGAACTTCTTGTACAATCGATGTCCTGTAACGTGCTTGGAAGACGTTCTGTATCCTTCTGGAGAGTCCGCAAAACCTGCCGGTGGTCGAACGATCTCTTCCGACACCTCAGGATGAAGCAACAGGAGGGCACACACGATAGAGAAAGAAGGCAGATAGATAGACAGATAAATAGAAAGAAGTTCTACTTTGCATTCGTATGTAATCTTGTAATCGCTCTTCGTGCGATCGAGCGATTGGAAATTGATAGAAATGTATAGATGCTTACAGCTTATAAAAAGTTCTCAATCTCTACACATTTTTATTTATTTTAATCTTTACATGATGGATATCTAATAAAAACAAACGTGTAAAAGAAATATAAAACGTATTTTATTTTATGACATATAAAAAGGATAGCATATAGATTGATATTTTTTATAGTAATGCGATACGAAAAAGTAACAAACAATTATATTA